AGACACAGAATAAGTCATCTCATACCAAGCAATTTGATTTACTAAACACAAAATGAGTACATTTAAGGCTAAAACATTAGGAACTGAAATACTGTCTATCAAAAGTACTCCAGAAACCAAATATCCAAACCAAACTTACTCAAAACAAAATAAAAATAAGTACTCTTGAAGGAAAAATAAAACTAAAATAAAGTTTTTCCACAAAACTCATCATTGCACGGAGGTGCTTCTGGAAGAGGACGAGTTTTACCATTTTCTATGCAACCCAAAAGAAGGCAGACAAAACCTCTTGACCAGATGAAACTGACCCGGACACTAAAATAACCCCCGACACCAAGGGAGACGAAACAACCTGGAGCATCAGTGTTCTCGAACATTATAACATAGAACAAACACAATCACAAAAGAAAAATAGTTCATTTTTGACACCGATAACAAGTCATGGAATGCGTATATTTTTGACATTTGTCACGAAGTAATGTGGTGGCTTCATTGATTGATGATAATGTATAAGGAGTTTAGTTAATTTGACCTAATTTGATTAATTAATTAATCGATCGATTCATCAAAGCATACCATTAATACTCGAACTGAACGTCGTCTGAACTTCGAATGGGCCAAAGGAGTATGGCACACAACATTTATACGGCATACTGACATGTTCACTTTACACTTCTACATGTCACCAGAGTCAAATGGTGATTCAACCATAATTTTACATTAACTACAAGTAATATCTAAAATATCAGACATCATTAGTCATTACTTACAAACATAAGACTAAACAAAGGTAACTGTAAATATGTGACTATTACTGACCAGGATAATGTTCTAATATACTCCCTCCGTCCCGTTAGAAGGTTCTCACTTTTCTGTTTTGGACGTCCCGTTAGAAGGTTCTAATTTCCATTTTAGGAAACAATTAACAATCTTAAGTGACAAATTAGTCATTAAATATTACAAATAATACATTTATAACATCACAGTTATTAATATTAACACATTATAATATATACATATTAAAATTATTTCTCAAAATATACCCGAAATATTTTATTTAATTATCACCTAAATAACCGTGCCGTTTTGATATGAGAACCTTCTAGCGGGACGAAGGTACCATATCGTAGAACTATGATACGGAGCAATATATTCTTGTAATAATATAAGTTGTATTTTTATTCATCACTTTTGTTTAAGGAATATGTAATAAAAATTTAATTTAGACAACTACAGCAATATATTGCGACGAGAAAGTGAGATGTTAATAAAGTAAATAATAATAATGAAATTCATTTTAATGTTCCTTTTTTTATGTATTTTAAAAATACAATTCTTATTAAAAAATCATACTCCCTCCATCCGGATATAAATTTTATTCTTTCTTTTTTCATATTTCTCAATAGAAACTCTTTTTTTTAGATAAAGAATGAGATATTACTCGAAATAGGACTAAAAAGGTTTGAAAATTCCAAAATAGGACTGCCATGTTTTTATTTCCAAAATAGGACTAATTACTGTCATGTTTTGGCAGTACCAGACTTCTAACATGGCAGTATTTTCCAAACATGGCAGTAATTACTCCTATTTTGGGAATAAAGAACTTGACAGTCTTATTTTGGAATTTTCAAACTGTTTTAGTCCTATTTCGGGAAATTTCCCATAAAGAATTTGTGATCCACAACATTTATTCTCATTTTTTTGTCCTCCGCATAATGCACAACTTTAAGTCACATTTTTTCCTTTATCTTAATTTGAGTGCAGATCAAAATAGAAGTTTTTATTGAGGAGGTAGTAAAAGTAATTAATCTCAACTCCTTATTGGCTTCGCTAAAAACGACAACCCACTTAACAACATGAACTATTCATTATATTTTTTTTAACTTTGACAAACTGAACAAGTTGCAATTTTTTTTTGACAAACTGAACTTTTGATATGCTAGTGTATACAACTTGAAATAGTTTTATACTCTCCGGTTTTTAATAAACTTCACACTTTCTTTTTTGGCACGGTCTAAAATAAACTTCACACTTCCTTATTTCCTTTTTTTGGCAAAGAAATCTACATCAAAACAGTGTCAAACAGTGTCTCAACAGTGCCAAATAGTGTCTCTACAGTGCCACACAGTGTCAAACAGTGCTTCAACAGTGTACTATACAGTAAAGTCAAATTTCTTTTCTTATTTTGTGTGAAGTCAAAGTGTGAAGATTAAATAAAACCGGAAGGAATAATAAATACTATGTGCTATGTAATTCTTTATCTGTTCTAAATTAATTATTAGAGATACCAAATGAAAAGGCGTGACTAAAGATAAAAAATACTCATATGTGAACATTTGTTTGGAATTATTATAACTACTAGAATGTGACATTTTAAATGGTTAAGAAAACAAAGTACAACATAAATATATGTGAGATTTGTAATTTTAATTCTATAACTCACTATTGGTTATTTATTAGTTGTGAAACTATGGGCCCGTTTGGTAACGGTTGCAATAGCTGAAACTGCTGAAAAGACTGAAAAGACTTAATCTGCTGAAGTTATAGTGTTTGGTAATATGCTGGCTGGAATGGCTGATTGAATGTAAAATTACCATAGAGGATATAATTTCTTCATGTTTTCAATACATTAGATTACAATACACCCCTTACTACCTAAACCCTTATTAGGTCACAAAATACCCCACACCTTCATACAAGTTTTTAAAACACGGCAAGGTATTTAAAATACTTAAAAGTATTTAGAATTCAAAATTTTAAATTGGAAGAAAATAGAATTACTACTGAGTTATAAAAACCATAATAAACTCAAAATAAAGCAACCCTATAAGTTTAACGCCACATAAAAAAAACAAGACGTGCAGCAACTTATTAGACCAGGCTTCATGAGATAAGGTATTGGGAAATTATGAAAGTTCACAAAGAACTAAATCTACACTTCTGGAGCAGTAGAACGAGAGGTCTTCAAGAAGGATAAATACGTATTTCTATAGCTTAACAGTACAATAATAAAATTCAGCCAAAGAAGTAACCTTAAGGCTACTTTTTGATCGAGCTGATAATAAAATTCAGCAAAATCAGCCCATTAAGAGGCTGTTTGGTGATTTTTATGCATATCAGGCTTATAAGCTGATTTCCTCCAAACGGGCACTATATTTACTTGTAGATTTGGTCATGTAACTATAAAATGTGTTTATTTTGAGTGCCTTTTCATCGGAATCATACCGATGAGAATGTCCTAGAAAATTGGTTGAGTTGTTTGAAGTAGTTGAAATTGATGAAATCATATGGGTGAAACATCTAAATTGGTTGAATCTTATATAAAAATTACGTTCAAAATATTGCGTATATTATATTATTGAAATAAAGAAAAAATCGTATGAAAATTAGACCACTTGAGGTGGCGCTGGATAGTCCTGATTTCTGGGTCCAGGTGCATAACCTACCTCTAGGCCTTATGACAGAGAAAGTTGCACGTGGAATTGAGAACACTATTGCAGTTCATGAGCGTACGCTGGGGGGTCTTGGAGATCCATCTTGCGGATTCGGGTGTCGTGAATATCAAGAAAACAATAGTTCGCAGACTACAAATGACGCAAGAAGGGGATTATTGATTCTGGGCAGAGTACATGTATGAGTCTTTCAAAGTTCTGCTTCATTTGTAGGAATCTTGAGACACATTGATCGTTTTTGTCCATCCAATACTCACTCGGGATCCTCGATCAAAGAGAAACCATACAGGCCTTGGATGTGTGCAGATATGGGAAGAGGAGGAGTGCATCTGGGTAATAAGTGGTTGATCCCTAACGGAAGCGTAACCAACTCACGGGAGGAAGAGATTGAGAATGTCTGAAAAAAAAAACAGTGCGAGTTTGATGAGACGGACAATTATATAGTGGAAGAATTGCTCTCTAGGGGTAAAGACATAGTTGATTCCCAAGAGGAAGAGCCGTGGAAGCGCAGAGTGATAGAGCCAAATATCAGAGAGGATACACTTGCCATCATGGAGATATATATGAGGAAGATCCAAAAAATGGACATGTGAAGAGGTGGCAGTTGACTCTCTTCCTTTAATGGTGGCCGGTCAAATCACATCTCCTCTCCCTTTTCGATAACTGGTAAAATTGGAGTTTTCTTTTGTTCTTCTACCTTTTATTGTCACGACAATATTACTTTTTCCATTTTCATTTGAGTAATAGGTGCATCAGGGATGCTAGAATAATCTACATTGATGAGGGGTTAGTGAATTGGAACATTTTTGAGCTACTTTTCAGTTCTGTGTCTCACCTTAGAATAATCTATGACTTGTTGGTCATGATTTTTGTTGCCTCTACTATATGATTAATTAGGTTATCTTTTAAAAAAAAATTATTTTAATTACTCAAAAATACTCCCTCTGTCCTAAAATTAACTTCTCACTTTTCTTTTCGGGCAGTCCCGAAATTAATTTCACACTTCAAAACTTTCCTTATTTGGCAAATAATTTACATAAAAAAGTGTCAAACAGTGCCAAACAATGTCCAAATAGTGTAAAACAGTGCAAAACAGTGCACTCCACATCAAAGTGAAATTTATTTTCTTAATCTGTTTGAAGTGAACTTAGGGGGTGTTTGCAATTGTTTCAACTTTAAAAAAGTGATATTTTAAAGTGATTTGGGGAAAAGTGATTAATAGTAAAAGTTGGTAGTGTTTGAGGAAAAAGTTATTCTGAAAAAGTAAAAGTTGGTAGTGTTTGGTAAAAAAAAAATACTTTTTGTGTAATAGAAAAAGTGAAAAACAGTTCAAAGCACTCTTCCACTTGCTTCCAGCTTTTAGCTTTTAAGTGATTAATTTAAGTAGAAGCTGTCATTTGAAAACACTCTTTTTAACTTTTTTTAAGCCAACAACTGAAAAGTGCTTTTTTTAATCAACTGCAAACACTCCTTTAATTACGGGAGTAGAAGTTATGGAAGGACTTGTGGGTTTATGGATGAAACGGGCGGGATAGCGTTGGATTGATCAACGATTGACTTTGTGCCTCCTGTCCCGGTAAAAAAATTTGTCAGTGTGTACACAACACAGGAAAGAACATCCCGCTTCTTCCTAATTCTCTGTCAGAAAATGTCTACTCCTCTATACATCTCACTATCACCGGTTGGGACCGCCGGAGATTTAAAACTTCCCGGTGACCAGGCCGAGGGATATAGTAATACGGAGTATTTCTCTTATTTATTTATTTGAAATATACAGTTTTCAACAATTAATGCATTTCACCTTCTTCATTTAGTGCACCCTGGGCTGGTGAATCCTCACCTGATCTCTCTTTGTCTGTCTCTCTCCATACTCATATAAATGTGTCCTTACGGGATAGATAACTGAATATTTATTGCTGGGTATGTACTATATGGTGAAACTGTTCATGGAGATGGGGAAAGCTGATTCCTTTTTCATCGCTTAGGGATACCCACCACATACCTTTCTTGTCACTATTTCTTCTTCAATCTACAGAACATATTTCTTCTCTATATTCAATCTCTCCACTTCAAAATCAAAGGTACTCTCCAGCTTCCATTCTCTGTGTATGATCTGAAGGGGTGGGGGTGGGGGGCCTTCTGTTTCCTCTGGTATGCCATTGTTGGGAAGTGAAGCATGTTTTCTTGCAAAATACATGAAAGAACTGTGCTTTACTTCTTTTTTTTATAAGTAATTGTGTTAACTATCATATTTCTGGTAAAGAAGATGAATGCTTCATGGGGGGAAAGCCCATTTCCAGATTATATCATTACAATTTATTGCAACTTTTATTTTCCTTGGTGGGGTTTGTAGTTCAAATTTGCCCCATACTTGAAATGCCACGTATCACGTATGCTCCTTGGTACCAATAGCGTACACATGTTTGACACCAGAATGAATTTGTATAGCGTTTTTGCTTAGATTTGGTTGATTTTCTTGGGTTCTTGTTAACTGTTATCCCTAAGAAAAGTGGAGTGAGGATTAGACATGGTCATGGACAAAACCTTAAAGCAGCCATTTTTTGCCTAAAGAAATGGAAAAGGGGAACCTGTGGTGTGCCATTTCCTTAATATACTTTTGCTTAAACAGGTCAAAAGCAACAATTTCTTTGAAAGTGGAGGGTGGGAGAAAAATAATTCAATGTAAAAGTGAAAGTCCATGTCAAGGATGTTTTAATTGGACTGAAATATTCTAGTATGATTTGTTTAAACCTAGTCTGATTTGGTAAACGTCTGGTGTATATGTATTTTACTATCGTCTAAGTCTAGGTGTTGCTTTGGTCTGATCTGGTATGTCAGAGACTTAGAACTGAAAATAGCTCAATTAAAAACATCCTTAAAACTTAATAGGTCATCTCTTAGTTTGATATTTAGCTTCCATTGGAGGTTTGCTTGGACTCAGTTTTGGTTTGCCTTTTAATTACTGCTTTTGCATCATTTTTATGGATGTCTATTAACTGTAAAGGCAGCATTATTTTTATTGTCTCATAATTATGATCCCAAAATGATGGAACTTTGCACCTAATTTATCTAATCAGTAGACACGTTTTCACTAGTCATTATGTCGAAAGCATGAAACACCAAGATGAATTACTGCCCAAATCTCATCTCCTAATACTTTTGTTTTCCTTTAGATCCCTTTGATTCGTATTATCTTTATATTTGTTTTTAAAAGGTGATTTTTGAACTGGCTTAAATTCAATAGGAATGCCTTTGACAGAGCGGAAGAGGAGACAAGCATGAAAGAAAATCAATTTGAAATTCTATGCATGAATGGTGACAAGGAGACAGATCTATTTAGTGGCATGTTTGGATCAAATGGTATCACTAATAAAGATAAAGACGGCTTCCAAAAGGTTCAACAACTTGATCGTGATGTGCTACTTCTTGATTGCTCTTTCAAGAGTATCAAAAATAAGTTTCATGTTTTTCCCACAAAGGATGATAAAAAGAGTCAGTTTCATTGCATTGCGCCTAAGACAGATGAAGAAGATGCACTTGATAAAAATGTCTCTCCTTCAGATGCTACTGACAAAAGTGTTATTGAACATGAGCTGCCTGAATCAATTGTTTGTTGCAAAGATGAAAAGTGTAACCCCATCAGAGATATTTGTGTTGATGAGGGGGCACACACTGTGGATATAGTTGATGACGTGTCAGGAAAAGAGCCTTTTTGTGATAAGCTTCTCCTATTGGAACCATCATCAACACAGAATTCACAAAGCTCTCTTGTCAGCTTAAACTGTAATGGCAGTACATGTGGAGTGTTGCTTGATAAGGTTTGTTTGTTCTCCAATTTTCTGCTTTAACCAAGTTAAGTCTGTCAAAACGTTTTATGTGCTCTGCAAGCAAATTGTGTTGCTCCACGAGTTTCATATAAAAAATGATATCACTGGAGCTGGCATTTCATTTTCCATTTACATTAGGTTTTTGTCTAAGCGTTTTGACTCCCAAAATGTTATTTCAAGTAAATGGAAGCTCTTTATCTGAGTGTTTGTGTTTATGTTATTTATCTGAAGAACTTCCTAAAAACTAACTAACCAATTTACAAAAATAAATCAAGTGATTTTGCACTAAAGAAAAAAATTCCTGGAAACATAAAAATGATTTTTTAAAGTTTTTTTTGCCTGTATGGTCATTTGGTCACTGTGAAAACACCCCCATTATGGTCACTGCCGTGTAAGATTAAATATTGATCTATTATGGTCACTACAATTGTTGAGGAAATACCATTATGCTCACTGTGTATTAAAATTTAAAAGTCATATTTTGTCTATTACTACCTCTGTCCCAATTTGATGGTAGCAATTCTTATTCACATGGTCAACACAAATCACTCTTAATCTCTTACTTTATATATCAACTTTTTATCAAATTTGATTCAGGTGTTTGCGACTTTGTAAAGTTTTTAATGTAGTTTCCGAATATGTAATTTTTTCTTCTAAAAATAATTTAATTGCGGACAGGGATCCGTTTGCTTTATCATCAGTCAAACATCGTAAACCGCAATGGTATCATCAAATTGAGACGGAGGGAGTTCTTTTTTATGTTAGACACATAGTTGTCATGTTTTATCCAAAAAAAAAGACATATAGCTGTCATTATATCCTTCTATAACAGTCAGCCAAACACTATCAAAGTGAAAACATTGTTTAGCAAAAACTTCCGTTTAAACCAAAAAAGCACATGTTAAAATTGTTTATCCAAACTCTCCAAAGTAATAAAGTATAGGGTTAAATAGCTACATAGCATATATAAATAGGAGAAGTTCAATGAAAATCCTTGCTTTTGATAAATTAAATACATAGCATATGTGACCTCATAAACTGATAATCACCAAGAGTATTTTATGTAGGAGATTAAATGCATGCCACGTTTTTAGGAGATTCTCTTCCTTCCATTTTAATCTAATCGGCTATATGCTTTATTTAGATAAATACATGACATTAATTTACTACCCCTATTTAAACTTGTACATATATCCAATTATTTCTAAAGTATATAGCCTCGTTTCATTCCAGAAAATAACTAATAGCTCCAAAAGCATGTGTGTATAATCTGACGTAGTATGGATTATCTTAATCTACAGAAGCCTCCGGAAGACAGAATCTTGCTGGACCATAATGCAACATCAAAAACTGATGAATCTAACGAGAAAGATGTGCCCGAATTCCCCGAAACATGCTTAGTCTACAGCAACATGGTGGAAAGCAAGTCTACAATTGACAAGAACACTACTAGTGTTGCTGACAGAAATGGAAATGAAAATGGTTGTAGACAACCCCAAGAGTTTCAAGATGATGTTGTTCCTAACAGTGAGGTTAAAGCCAAAGTAAACCATTCAATTAGTGGCCAACAGGATAAATTTGCTGATGGAGGAGAGGCTAGTTTTTCTGGACTGAGTTCTTTGATCACTTCTTCTTACGCGGGCTTGATACCATACTCTGGCAGCATTTCTCTCCGGTCGGATAGCAGTACAACGAGCGCCAGATCCTTTGCCTTCCCAGTGTACGTTTTTGCAAAACTTTTTTCCCAAAATCGCTCCTTTTTGTTTCTTGTTTGGTCATTTCTAATAAATCTTCATTCTTTGAATGAAATGTTTTTTGTTGTGGGGGGTGCAGAATTCAATCAGAGTGGAATAGCAGCCCTGAGAAAATGAAAAGATCATATAAGAGATCCTGGAAGCACATGAGTTGCTGGCGGCGTCTTCTTTGCTGTAGATTCTGAATGAAGTCCATTTCATTTGTTTATATAGGCCTTGTCAAGTTAAATTGTACTCCGTATTGCTTTACCTTATGATGATGGTTACTTTTTTAGAGATGTGTTGCCTCTCCTGTAGTTGTATGTATGCTTAGTGTACTGTTGGTGTTAGGGTATGAATATAAGGTTTGAGAGGATGTTTGTTGTTTATTTTCTTTTTTAGTTTTTCTAGAATTAGCTCAGAATCTTTTTCTGTTGAGAGAGTGATTATTATTTTATATTTCCTCATTGTTTCGCATGAAGCTTAGGAGATTTATGTCAATATTTTTTTTGCGGTTATTCTTTTTTTCATTTGTGTTTTTTTCCACATATATAGATATATGTGGATATGCAGTTGGAAGCTAAGTTTTGGACTTTTGGTTTTCTGATGTTTAAATTTGCAAGTTGCAACCTACTTCATGTTTGCGTAGGCAAAGGATAACATGTTGCAACATGTTGACAGAAAAAATGAAAAACATCTGCAATTTTTATGAGAAAACCTGCCTGGCTGCCATAAGTCCATAACAAGGTTGTTCTAGTGTCTTTCAATTAACAAGGTGTACACATTAAAACGCTCATAAAAACTTTTCACAAAAATTACTTTACACACCAGTGTGACTACTCTTCTCTGGCTCCTGTTTACTTTCTACAAATAATTCCGTAATCCCCACACACGAATTCTTAAACTTCACAAAGGAAACAATTAGAAGAAATTGATTTCTTGTTATCATGGACATGTGGTTTTCCTTGACTTTGCTTTTTCAGAACTTTTAATAATACTGAAATTGGCCGAATCGACAAAATCGGTGAAAATGTGATTGAATATGCTAAGTTATTAAAAATGTATACATAAATATATTGAATAAATAAAATCATGAAGAATTTATAAGGTGTATGATAAATAGCTAAAATAGTCCACTTCAACAATTTAGCCAATTCAATCAGAAAAATAATTCCAACTTTATTTATTTTGACTATTACAAAATCCAATGTGTTAAATCAAAAGTTATGTGTTGAATAAAAATATTAGCTGATAAGACCGATAAGCCGAAAAAATGTCTTATCAAATGGACTTTTGAAGTTCTATTTCAGGCATCTCTATGAGCTTCGTCCACGTATCTATGGACATTTCAAAGATATGTAATACTATCTCCGTTCCACTAACATTGAAATATGAGAAAGTGACACGGTTATTAAGAAAAATATGTTTATGTGATTCATATTGAATTAATAAAATAAGACTAAAGTAAGAATGATCACACAAATTCTATCAAATTTGGTATGAAACAATCTTAGTGCAGCGGACCGGAAAGGAAAGATGGGACAGTCTTAGCGGGACGGAGAGAGTAGTAAAATTAAAAAAAAAAACTATTTTAGAGTTTATCTTTAATCTACAAAAAAATACACCATTTTGCAAAATGACTAGCAATACTGAAAGATTATGTAGATGCAAATGCATCTACATATAAAGTGGGTCAATATGTGACATTAATGTTATTTGTACAAAGCACTTGTACACGACATTTTACATGCCGATCAAATTGTTTATGTACAGACAATTTGACCAGCATTTTGTACTTTTGTTAACACAAACAAATTTTTTATGACTGTACACGGTCAATTTGACCAACATGTAGAATGCCATGACGCCATGTACATGAAGCATTACTGAATATGAAGCATTACTCAATATGTAAACCCTGCAATTTAAAAATTGAGGAATACCTAATTTTGTTTCTAACTTTTTTCTTAAGGACTCTACTGGGTAAAATTTAAACTTTTAAAGGTTTTAAATTTGAAACACAAAATAGTTTAGTTTGAAATCTAAAGGGAGTATATATTCTTATGATGTAATGTATTTACACAAACACAGAATTGAAAATTGATGTTTATCATGTGTGCTTTGACTCTTTGAGCATACACTTGTGTTCAGGGATCAACATAAGTTTTACAGTTTTTGTTTATGGTATGTTTTTCGGATTAAATTAAAGTGTTCCCAATATAGCACACTCTAAAAGCCACTCTAATGGTGACTTAAAATCCATCCTTTGTCATTGGTAATAAACACAAAAATAAGTATGTGTGGAGTGTGGACAATCTATTTACTTTTTGCACATTATGCATTAATGTATGCAAGAACACAGTATCATGAACAGTTTTACCATTATGCATTTTAATACTTGCAAAAGATAACTTCATAAACAATTTCACTTGTACTTGATTATTGCACTTCTACTAAACACTAAAAATATTTTACACCTCGAGTGAGCAATACAAGCCGGGCTCAGAATATAAATATACATAATTCTAGTATAATGCATCCAACACTACCACACTACTGTGTCCAAATTAGACATTTGAACATGAATGTAGCGAATTCAAAGTTAAAAGTACTACTACCTCCGTCTAATTTTATGTATCCTACTTTGGTTTGGCACAGTTATTAGTAAAATGGTTGGAAAAGTAAAAGTTGTTGAGATTTGAGTATAATAAAGTAAAATGTTGTACACCACATATTTCTTTCAAAAAAGGAAACCTAACACTTATTTGGGAACAATTTAAAAAAGAAAGTAGGACAGGAATAATGGGGCGGAGGGAGTAGTAGGTTTTAGACATCGGACTAGGAGTTGAAATACGCAGAGTACAATTATGAAGCAGTTAAACTCTTATAAAACCAAAAGCTCAACTAACCATTCAACAAACACATGCATTCCACCTCGATAATTAGTTAGTGTCCAAAATAGTTACGTATATGCTAATTGACACTAATCTACATATTACACGTGAACTTATGTACCCAGTTCATAATACACCCACAAAACACCAAAATAGTAAATGTTTTTCCTACTTTGCTGCAAAAATGCCAAACTCAGTACACGAGATTCATATCTCCAATTATACATGTAAAATCTTGCAAAAATTACTAAATTAAACCAAACAAACATGAATTAATGACATGCACTATTTCAAATAACATTCACTTCAAACATTGAGGTTACCTCACTTCGGAAAATGAAATATGCATTTTCCCTGATGATACGAATTTCTTGCACCATTTATATTTACAAATGGATCTAAGAAACTACCTTTGGAATTGGGATAATCACTACACATAGAAGTCTTCTCTCCTTTTTCTGTATCAATTTGCATGATAACTGTTTGTTATTTTAAATATCTTTGGTTGTCAGCGAATTGCATTTCGTCCTCCTAAGTCCTAGCACATGGAATTGCACATCAGTCCTCCTAAGTTCTTTGGTTGAACTAAATTCGGGGGGTTTGTTGCTGGATCAACATAAGCAACCTGCCATGACTGCCAACACAGCAGTTTAAACCATGGTTTTGGCCCGTCTTTGTCATGTGTAAATTCCAAAACACATGGTGGTATTACGAATAGTACACTCTATTCTATAAAAATTGGGGAGAAAAAATGAAGAGATGGTAATTGGTTACTTGAGAGCATTAGGTTTTGGATTCAATGAACATGATCACAATGAGCTCCCTCGCCAACCGAAACTTAAAATAATGGAGTGAACAAATAAGTGAAGGCATTACATCAATGGACATGAGCAACAACTACCATATGCACAATCTTGAAATAAATCAGGGGGATATTGATTGTGCTATACCTAAATCCTCAGCCTTTTCTGAGCTTGATCCATATCTCCATCGGTGTCCGGTTCACGAAAATAACCCACTACTTGACTCGAAGATGGTGCAGCAGGTTTCTTATGGTCAATATCCTGTAATATAAGTTCTATAGACAATTTAGGAGAAGAAAGTGCATGTCTCATCAAGTATATATGGCATGTTTTACTTCCCTCCCCAACAAGAACAACAATATACAAGCCAGGCAAGCCTTAGTCACAAAAGAGTTTGGGATCACCTTACTTCCACTTCCAGCGCCTAATTTTTTTAAGGAATTTCATATAGCGATACTTAGAATAAAAGACATACTATCTATAGTATACATACCCTGGCACCCATTACTGCTGTACTTAATCCCCTATTTGCCCGTTTTCCAAGATCTATCTGTACAGAGATGGTGGCATGTGATAGGTCTACACCAGTGCTTTGCAACGCTTGTCCTAAAGAATTTAGTAGTCTGGAAAAAATGACATATCTCAGTAATAAGTACTAAAAGGGGCAATAAATCAGGGGACTTGAATATTAAATTAAAGTGTGACTATAACTGTTTGAATATTATACTCCATATACATTAATTACTTACCCTTGGGAGTAAACACCTGAAAAGTTTATTGTTCCACCCTCTATAGCTGGCGGCTCCGCCTGTTGACCAAGAGCATCTTCCATTCTGTTGGGGAGGCATTCAGTTGATTGGGCATCAGAAGCTGGCAAACTTGCCAGCAGATGCTTAGTAGCAAGCTCATTATGTTGTGCCCCATTGAAGGTGGCAGAAGATGATTCAACTCGATTCTGCTGAATTGTTGGTTGCAAAGCTGTTGAAGGGGCTGTGATAGCATTCTCATCAAACCTCCCAGCATATGCCGGACCATTCTTTACAGCTTGTGGGGGGGATTCTGAAAAACTCTGCAATCGCCAATGACTGTTTCTCTGAGCCCATATATAAAATTAAATTAACAGAATGCTTCTTGATAAGAAAACGAAATAATCATTAATAGAAAAAATATGGATGATAGAACACGGAATGTACAATGACGATCAGACATCCTTCAAAATACTTTGAGCAACAGTTTCCGATGCATCTAAAATATTTAGGGAAGTGTTCAATGAAAGTTGTGGACATATTTTTAATGGTTTCATGGACAGGTATACTAAGCTATATTTGACAAAAAAGCCAATAAGTAAATTAAAAGTGATGGCTTGTAGCTGAAAAAAATGTAACTGGTCTGGAAATTGGTGTTTGGCGAAAGTAGTTGATACGCTAGCTTCGAATTACAAAATGACAGAAAAGGGCATGTATAAAACAGTTGTTTTAAATAAAAGGTCGAGAATGGGATTTTATACGAGAAAGAATCATTCAGCACTATATGAATGATACTAAAACAACACTTGAAATAAATCATGCTTCTAAAAGAAAGTTCCATCAAAGAGAGATTATTTGAAAACTTGAAAAGCTTCATCCAAAAAAGAGCTAAGAAGTAAAAACCGGTGTTGTCAATCCCGGATAGAGGCCAACCCCGAAAACGCTATAGCGGTAACACGGTATAGCGGATAGCGGGATGATCACTATTTAGACAATATATATGCAAAATAAATATAATATGTATGCATATAATTACATGCCATGCACATATTAAATGCAAGAAATGATAAATCATAAATGTATTACTCAAAATCTCAAACGTCATCAAATTTATACTTACTAAATTACCAATGAAAAGGCATTAGTGTCTTAAACAAAAGAAACAAGTAATTTAAGTAACATACCTCTAAACATTAAAAATTAATAATTAAGCTCCTGATAATTCTTGATAAATTAAAATTCATCAATATCTCATTATAAGAAAATCATGGTTGTTCGGATGCCTTGAACTACCTTAACATTGAAATGTACGGTGTAGGTTATGTTTGATCTTGGTTTCTATTTTGAGTTATTTTAGAAGGGTTTAGTAGGGTTATTTTTATTTTTTACCCAAAAAATATCTAAAAGAAAAAATTACTCCAAAATGCCCTCAAAACTAGTACTGAAGTAGCCCCTTAAATTGTAGCGGCGCTATAGCGCTCGCTGCAGCCGCTATTCTTCCCACTATAGCACCCGCTACTGGCACTATTGTCGACCGCTCCGCTATAGGGAGTCTGATAGCACAATTAATGAACATCAAACATTTTGCAGCACATAGACACAGGCAACAAAAACACAAGAGAGCAATGACAGCCACCTAATGAGGTCAAGCTGTAATATAAAAAACTTAAAAACGAATAGGATGCTGACCCAAGGCATTAGTTTTGTTGGCTCAGAACTCCACGCTTGATATGATCCTTCATACTTTTGTACCTTCTCCTGTAAATACTGTACATACTGAATCACCTGCGTAAAGAGATGAATATCAGCACAATCTCAATGCAAGGTTGGATAAAAAAATGTATTGGGTATTGATTTTATGATTTAATCAACTCTGGTAGTACACCTCAAACAGAAATGATGCAGTATCTCGCTTTTGATCTGTATTAGGTATCAGGTCTCTTAATATCTGAAATCTGGATTGAACAAAAAATATCAGCATTTCCAGGAGCTTGAAGAAAATTATGTTTCAATCTTCATATAATTATTCTAATAAATTCTGCACATAAAATGGTATTGAATGCATCGGCTAAATGACAGAAGCAAAATAAATTTTGTCCCATTTCCTTTCCTATTTTCGTTTTTGTTGTTCCTTTCCTATTTTTCTTCTAACTGATGAGAGATGCGCTTGAACAATAACAAGATCTCACACAAAGGCATAGCCAAGTCTAAAATCAATATCAAATCAAATATCCAATAATAATAATAATATTAATAATAATAATAATAATAATAATAATAATATAAAATAAGTAACAATGTAACAACAGCTTTCTTAGTTGTTATGACATACAAGCACCCCTAGAAACAATGGAACTCATTTCCTTGATCAAACTCATTAGAGTATAAGAAACTTATCAATATATGTTGCACTCAAAGACAGTCTGAGTGTCTAACCATGTCCAGTTCCAAATTGAAACTATACTATCAGAATCGTTATCATAATAACAATCTAGGTTAAATGCTAATAGTGGAAACCTGACTTTATGCAATTGCAAGTTAGCACAAACCAAATGTTCGCATAGTTAGCAAACAGTGTCTGTCTACCTCTCACCATAGCTAACCACTCCCATTATGCCCTTAAGCATGTCCACAACACAGTTGTGAGTTGGGACTATTCAGTTTTACATAGCATAATTTGAGAATACATGTAAGCTATTGCCTCTGTCTCCAATAAGTTAATTTCATGGATGGTACTACGTAGTATATAGAGCCTCCATGCTCAGTCCTAATAGGAAGACAAATATCCCCAAAACCAAGTTACTTTGATATAACATTCAAATTCATAGATTTAAATATGCTTTCCAATCACTCATTCATATCAATAACAATAATAACAATATTCAGTACCTCTCGTTGATCTTACTCCTCCTACGCTGCTCCGTTACAGAATGTTTAGACCTTATTACATTGGCCTTGTCATTATTCTTTCCATCTATTCCACAAAGAGAAACACCTTGCGATCTCAATACAATGAAGACGAATTCACGATTTCATACTTTTAGTAAGAATAAATACAAATGCTTTAAATCAGAACAATTTCCAATAATCACAACGTACCTCCGGGAGTACTACTATGGGAATTCGTAGCATTTTTCTTCGAGCCTAATTCATCCTCCTCTTCCTCTCCATGATGATCCCTCACAGTTTTCATGGTCTGTTCCCAATAATTTGATATGGCCTGCATAAGATAAATGAATCAAAGAGGCATACAAGATTAATAACTAAAAAAAATGAACATTATATAGCAATTGAGATCTATTGAACAAATTAAAGTCCCGTAGGATTGGAAGACCAAGCAAAAAAGTTGCGGATTCCCGGAAAGAATTGAGCTTTTTCAGAACTGATCTTACCGGTTCCCGCTTTCGAGGTTCGGAGCGTCTGAGGTTTGGAGTCACCGGTGAGTATGAGGAGGCCACAGTAAGGATAGCTGGTTCCCCCGGTAATTTCTGTTTGGTAGGGAAAAACAGAAAAGGTATGTTGCTTTAAATGTTGTACCTTGCGCATTATTGCTACAAATGAAGTCAACTTTAAAAAAAAAAATTGCATTGAGGAATGTTGGATTGTATGGATCTAGACATTTGAACTTAATTAAAATTAAAATAATGAGGTAATCCGTTTTTACAAATCTTTATTTTTGCACCCCAACCCTGTATGAAAAGACAAAAATACCCCTCAATCATGAATATGTTGAAGAACAACTGAATTGTTAATGGAGGGGCATTTTTGTCTTTTCATTCGGGGTTGGGGTGCAAAAACAAAGATTTTTAAAAAAGGGGTGCAAAGTCCAATTTGAACAATAATATGGTGTGCAAACTCAAATTACCCCTAAAATAATTGACCTATTTAATTTATGGGCCAAGAAATCAAACTTAAATAGGTCAGACGTAAATATATCATACTAAATACTAGACAAGATCAGACTTGACGAGTAAAATACACATATACTCGAAATTTATCAAATCAGACTAGACTACACTTAAACAGACCGATTCAAATCAGACCGAGCTTCAACAGACCACAACAGTTTAGTTAATTCAAGTCCAATTAAAAACATCATATTTCTTAATAATTGGAATTTTATCAATTCAGGACCCGAAAGTTAGATTAATTATCAATTCAGGACCCGAAAGATGAAACGTATCGGTATAGGACCCGAATGATGGGAAACTATCAATTTAGGACCTAATATTTCATAGGTTTTGATTTATTTAATTTTTTTATTAAATCCATTACTAATTTTTGATAAACTTTTCTTCACAAAAGTTTATTAGTTTAATAAAACTAATTAATATTTAAAATTTTTAAAATAAAAATAATAATAAAATTCATGACAACCTAGGTCCTAGATTGATAGTTTCCAATCATTCAGGTCCTAAATTGATAGTTTTTCATCATTCGGGTCCTATATCGATACGTTTCATGTTTCGGGTCTTGAATTGATAATTAATCTATCTTTCGGGTCCTGAATTGATAAAATTCCTTAATAATTTGAACCGTTTTCAATCATCTCATTTACATAAATTTCATGAGGTAGTTGATTTTTTTTTGAAAGAATGAGGCAGTTAGTTAATAACAATAAAGTTCACAAAAATATTTTCCCCTTCCAATTATACTTGCATATTAGATTTTGCGCAAAGTTTTAGAAATGTGAGATACCTCATATGGAAAGATTGATAAAGTATAAAAAGTATGAAAGAAGAAAAAATAATGATGAGAATTAATGTAAAATAAAAATGAATACTCTGAGAAAATGATAAAATAACAAATAAAACTAAACATTTGTGAATTTAGCGAATCATGGAGAGAAAAGGATCAAATAAAGCCTTCTATTATTATGAAATCATCACATAAAGCCATGTACTCAATAAAGTGTCATATAAGTACATCTACTTATAAAAAGCAATCGGATGAGTCATAATGACCCGTTGACAACCTCTAAATCACGACTTTAGCTCACATGCCGTTATTTTTATCTTGTATTTAAGTCAACCATAACTAAATATTTCATGTCAATCATATAATCTATAATTCTATATTAAAGAGATAGTCAGACGTACACTAGAACCGGGATTACGAGGTTGTCAAAAGGCCATTTTGACTCATTTGATTGCTTTTTATAAGTAGGCGTATTTATAATGGTAGAAGGCCTTATTTGACTCTTTTCCCTCATAGAGATGGTATTAGACGAATGGATTTGGCCTTCGGGAAAGTCTGTTACGACATTCGAATTATATGGAAGATGTTGAAATAAGAGGCATTAAAATATCTCATTGCACTTGTTTGGATAGATTATTTGTCAATGATGCATCCATTAACCTCCAAGGTGATAACAGTACTATTTTGGAATTCCAAAATTTTTACTCTTATTTAGGATAGTTTCCCTAGTAGTATTCTGGAATTCCAAAATGCATCGAATATCCTCTAATGTGATAGGAGTTTGAGCAGCACCACAGTCAGGAGACATTTCGAGTCCCGTCCCTCCCTAAATTTAATAAAAATGTTACTATGTACGTGGTACAAAATATGTGTAAAAATATGTGTGAAGATTGTATTACAGATTAGGTTTTGATGCCCCATTTCAATATTTTTTGCTAGGCTGTAACACATAGGGATTGGCCGATTGGGATAATGATATGCAAGTTGCCTCTATTGATACTAATAAGCATCCTTTGAGATCCTGGTTTTTATATTAGAGATCAGCAAGAACCTTTGAGTGCAAATGGCTTGAGAGTTGTCAATAATGCTAAGGCATTGCCTCAAAAGTCAAGGAGTTTCTCCAAACAAAATACTCATGCTATAATTTACCAAAATTTTATTTTCAAGATAAGAAAAAAAGCATACAGACAATAAAAAAACATTGTTCAAGACAAGTTAGTGTGATTGAAGTTGGGCTAGTTGCTGGACAAGCCCTTCCAAACATTTTATAGAGCTTCCATCAATCTTAAGTGCTTCAAGTGCCTCACCCTTCAATTCTTGGGCTCTCGCCTTCTCCGAAATAGCGCAATTCATTGACTCGCTAATTTTTATTGCCAATGAGGCCGTATCAGGTACCGTGTCAGCTCCCTCTAACACGCGGACCGAAACCCCCAAGTCATCAACCAATAACTTGGCATTAACATATTGGTCAGCCTCCATTGGCCACCCCAATATCAGCACCCCTGCTACTATTGCTTCCAACACCGAGTTCCAACCGCAATGACTCAAAAACGCACCCACGGCTGGATGGTTTAGTATGTCCACTTGAGAGGCCCAACCCCGAATTATTAGGCCTCTTCCCTTGACCCGATCCTCGAACACTTCTGAGACTGATCCATAACCCAAATCCATTTGTTCAACCGTGGGCTCTTTCACAACCAGCACGAACCGAACCCCGCTCTTTTCAAGCCCATCAGTCAGGGCCTCTAATTGCGCCTTCCTCATCAACTTCTGACTCCCAAAGGCCACATACAACACTGACCCCTCAGGGCACCCATCAAGCCATGCAAACAAACTCTCTTGGCCATTGATCTGGCCCACGCCACGAGGACCACCAATCGAACTCAAAAGCCCAACATGAAAAACTCTCCCATGGCCCATCTTATTCTTCAAGAATTCCAAATACACCCCATCCAATGCCTCAAAGGTAGTGACAATAGCCCCCCAACTTGTGAAATTCCCAATCATGCCCCTCCTAATGCTCTCCCAATCAGGGTCAGATTCTTTGTAGATCTTTATCATGGAAGGAAGATGCTCTCTTGGGAAACTGGGAGAGTTTGGGAGCTCTGGAAAGTCAACCACCTCCGAAGACCTCAAAGTCTCCACCTTTTTCCAACCGCATTCAAAGACGCAAGCCAAGAACGCGCTGTGGCAGAAAAAGCAAATTCCGGGCACGCCGATTTCTCCGGCCATGTCCTCCACCCAACCCAAGAAAACATCATGAATGATTGCCGCCGGAGGATTTGGATGAGATCCGAACCACTCAACCATCGGTCGGCGGAGCTTGGAAAGGGAGCTCATGATCGGGCCATTTCCCCAGTTGCCGACGTCCTTGACATTCTCGACGCCGGCGGGGAGGAGAGGGTGGCCGGACGGAAAAGGGAAGACCAGGGTTTGGATGGAGGGGTGGGTGGAGAGGAGTGGATCGAGAATTGGGAGGTTTTTGGGTGTGACGAGGATGGTGATGGTCAGGCCGCGGAGGGCTAGTTGGTGGGTCAAGTCAAGAAGAGGGAGAAGGTGTCCTTGGGCTGGGTAGGGGAAGACCAGTACATGGACTCCTCTTCCACTTTTGGAGCTCGACATTACTGCTATGGAGAACGATGGAGTGGGAGGGGAAACCAGTAATTTATTTGGTGCCGTAGCAAACGAGCAATTATGTAGCCTAAATAAGTCACATGAGTCTTCCGACAGCCCAATACGGAGTACTTTAGTCGTCTTGAAGACTTTGAAAGCTAAGATAGCCAACCCGATTATAAATTAGGGTTAAGGATGTTTTTATTTGGTACGAAATTTGATGGTCTCATTCTATTTGTTTAAGTTTGATCTGATTTGGTCTTTGTGTATTTTATAATTATGGAAGTCTGATCTCATCTGGATTGGTCTGGTTAAGACTGAAAACAGTCCAAGCAAAACACAAAAAAATAGCATTCTTTAAAGCTTGGACAATAGTCGGAATTCGCCAAACTCTTTCAGAGCTGGTCTATTGTCATTGCTTTGTCTGGCATCGTCGTTTGTTGGGTCGTCACCCGCATCGGAACCTGTTGTCCCAAATAATCCTAAATTGCATCTGCCAATTTTCTGATACGCTTGGTGACACTGCCACCACCAACGGACTGAACCATCACCAACCGACTGACGGTTACCCAAAAGAATAAAGGGCGCAATTGTTTAATTAAATTAGAAGTACTAGGGTTAGAAAATTAATATTTGATTCTAGGTCTGTGATTGGTTCGGTTCTTGCTAAAATTCAATGGAACCGTATTAAAAATCGTAGGCTTTAAATTCGGTTCGATTCTAGTTAAAAATTTAGTTGTTAAATTTAGCTCGGTTCTAGTTAAATTCGGTTTGATTCTTACCTTTTTTCAGTTCCTTATATAAAATTTATTGTCCTCCTAAAATGAACACATTTTACCTTCAGTTACAAAAAAAATCAATTTTCAAATCATGAAATTATGACCATTACATTATACATAGTTACATACATGATATCTCAATGTTCAAATATCACAAAAGTATTCGAGTGCAAACATTGAGTTTAAACATAACAAAAACATAAAGTTTTAAAATAGACATCAACAATCAAGAGAAAAGGTTTAATAGCTCCAAGATGAACCTTCAATAGTAGGTAGTTCAACCTCAAAATAATATTCTTCTACTAGTAATGCGTAAAATGTACATCGTAATAAACTAACCGGTAGTATTGAAAATAAAAAAATACGTAGTATTCCTTTTGTAGGTGAACTCAAATAAAAAATACAATTATAAACAAACAATAATATATAAGTGGACTAAAGTAGTAAAATAATAACTATTCGGATTGATCATGTCCACAATATATAAGGTATATTGTGCAAGACAAATGTTCCTGACAAAAATTTTCCGCCTAGAACGCCGTTTTGGGCACCTTCATTTGATGTGCTTCCGGGGTACAATTTTTTGATGAGATTAAATAAAAAATTGAAAAACATTGTGTTTTTATATGTATTTTGCCGTAGTGTTTTTAAATAATTTATTTATCTGACTTCACGATTAAATTTCAAGCTCAAATTTGGTGGACATAGTCTATATTTCATGAACAACAAGCTCAAAAAATTTTATCCAAAAATTCCACTCAGAAGCACCTTAAATGAAGAATACTCATGCAATGTATAAGAAGTTTGGTTCCTGTCTAGGAACCGGAACCGAACTGGAACCGAACCGATCAAATACAACAGGAACCGAACCGAAAAAATTTGAAGACCAAAACTATAGGAACCGAACCGAACCGGAAAATTAGGTTCGATTCAGATCAGTTTTCTCGGTTTTACGGTTTCAAGTACGGGCCTATTTGATTCTATTAAGGGAAGGTTAGAGATTAACTACTATTTTGTTCAGAGGTTGTAACAAAATTAGTCTATCACACATATCTAATAATTAAAAGTGGCCAGTATTCAAGACAAAATTATGACCCGAAATAGGACTAAAAAGGTTTGGAAATTCCAGAATAGGACTGTCATTCTTTTATTCCCAAAATAGGATTAATTACTGCCATGTTTTGGCAATACCATACTTCAAACATGGCAGTTTTTTTCAAATTTGGCAGTAATTACTGCTATTTTGAGAATAAAAAACATGACAACCCTATTTTGGAATTTTCAAATGGTTTTAGTCCTATTTCAGGAACCTTCCCTTTTTTATATTGTGCGATATGTTGTGTAATGATTTAAATAAATAAGGTCAAAGTTGTTTTATTAGCTGGATTGGCTGAAATTACTGTAGAGGGTCACTTTAGTTATTTCCATACCCCGTATGATTTTTTTACTTATTTTATTTATAACTATATTCTAAATATCCATAATTCAGCGGATTCTACCACATCAACTAAAATTTCAATAATCTCAAGAATTCAGCTGACTCGATCAATTTAAGTGTTACTAATTACTCCCCTGTCGACAGAGGGAGTAATTAGTAACACTTAAATTGAATGAGACGTCTCATTCAAAAGTTTTCACTAACTTTTTTGGAACGTTTCATTCAAATGTTCCCATTCTCCATTGTAAGAAACCATTAACACTCTTAAATAATAATTCAATCATCAAATATTTAATGGGACGGAACAAAAAGGAAAGATGGAACAATTTTAATCGAACATGCAAACTATTATATAGATCTTATGTTTGAGTACTCTTCCGGTCAGGAATTCCTGACCGGAACTGCCGTCTGGACGGCGGATTTTGGGGCCCTTCCCGGAAGATTTTTTTAATAAAATTTGAATGACACGTTCTTCATCAAGTCTAGTTTATCCACACAAAAATTCAACTAAAAACTCAATTGGAAAGGTTTCAAATGATTTTTAGAAGATAACTGCGCCCAATATATACATATAAAACACAATTATCTTCCAAAAATCATTTGACGGCCTTCAGCTGAACTTTTTTGTGCATAAACTAGACTTGATTGAGAAGATGTCATAAAAAATTTCATCAAAAAATTCCACTCAAAAGGAAGCACGACATGAAGTTTTCTCCTTATGTTGACATTTTGAAGTATTTATGTTAACCCAATTGAACTGTTAATCCGAAACTAGCAATTCACCCGTGCGATGCACGGTCGGGAATGTTTTTCCCTATTTTGTCCGTTAGAAACGTTTTCCAGGCCATCGGGATAAAAGATGCATCGTCAATAATACAAAAACAGTGGCGATGAGCTACAGAGTACACAATTCAAAATAAAGCGCAATAATAAGATAATGAAGTACAATAAAACAATCTTACAGTTAGCCATAGGCATAGCCGCATAGGTAAAAGATGAAAAGGAATGCAATGCTAGACGTTATTAAAAACTTCCTTATAAACAACATTTTGAGTGGTATTCTTGGTCTTGCCTTCATCATGACATATCAGAATTCTCAAACCGCGCCTGTTGGTCACTCTTGAAACAGCAACATATAGTTGTCCATGCGTGAAAACAGGTTTCCTCAACAACAAACCGACACGGGACAATGATTGACCCTGACTCTTATTAATAGTCATAGCATATGAAATCATAATGGGATACTGTCGCCTTTGAAATTTGAAAGGCAAGTTTGCATCAGAAGGAGTCAAGGACAACCGCGGAATCAACACTCTCTGCCCAGAACTGACACCAGTTAAAATTTTTCCCTCCAAGACATGATCGCAAAGCTTGGTGAGAATGAGTCGAGTACCGTTACACAACCCCATGGAATGATCAATGTTTCTTAGGAGCATGACCGGGGTGCCAACTTTTAACGTCAATTTGTGATTCGGCACACCAGATAACTTAATGCTATTTAGGAATTCAGGTGTGTGCAGCTCTGCCATTAGATCGGTTGTAGAATCTACTTTTGATACGCTATCTGAGCTCAGATACGTCCTCGAAACCTCTCCAACGTTGAGACCCATCATATAGTCATTAACTGAATCAACAACAGCAAGGGTTGGGGCCAAAATTGCGCGGTCACGCAGACAACCAAGGTCAGTCGAAGATGCAACATACTCCGGAAAAATGCTTTCCACAATAGCAGCAACAGGATCAGCATCAGTGTGAATTAATAAATCATCGGGAATATCAACAGACTCAAAACCATCATTTTCTCCACCCAACACACCGTCACCGATACTTGCAATCCATTCAGAAAAAATCTTCAAATCATAAGAATCAGCCTCGTTTGTCATATTCTGCAGACGCATATTTTTTGTCAATCGAAGGACTGTGCAGTCTGACCACAAATATGACGAATTGATGGTGGCATTGACAACATCTTGTCTGCTGCCGTTAGGTATCACAGGCAGCACCTGGCGGAAATCACCTCCAAATACCACAGTCTTTCCACCGAAAGGCTTTGTTGCACTATTTTCTTTGTGAAATTGCATAATATCTCTCATGCTACGGTCCAGTGCTTGGAAGCAAAATTTGTGCAACATTGGAGCCTCATCCCAGATAATTAGCTTGCATCTTACAATTAGCCGAGCTAGCGGACTACCCTGCTTGACATTACACGTGGAATCCTCATTCAAACTAATCGGTATTGCAAATCGAGAATGAGCAGTGCGTCCACCTGGAAGAAGCAAGGAAGCAATTCCGCTCGAGGCAACATTTAGGACAATCTCGCCCAGAGACCTAAGTGCCGCAGACAGTGTTTTCCACACAAAGGTTTTCCCTGATCCACCATACCCATAAACAAAGAAAACACCACCAACATCGTTTCCCACAGATTGCATTATCGTTTCGTAGACACGGAGTTGCTCATCCGTCAAAGAACGAAATAATGTTGCGTGCTCTTCGGCCATTGCAGCCCTGTCATACCCTAACTCTTCATATATCATTCTGTCACTGGAGGAAAGCATTGAATCAACGGAAACAGTCGGCATTGGAGGGTAATCCCGTAAACTCTTTCCACGACCTCGTAACAATTTTTCTAATTCAGCCAAAGCCAATTTCTCTAGCTGATCGTCTGAAAGAATCAATTCTGCAAGGGAGATACAACATTGATGATTCAAATTGCTAGTAAAAAAGTATGAAATACAAAGAATGCACGCACACGATACACAAAAACACACAAACATATATTCCATCAAAGAACACATTTATTTTAAACTAAATGAAACTTGGATGTTGCAACATTCGCCTTTGGGTGTGTTGTATGTCGTCCGCCATGAACCTCCAACAATGTTCCCAAACAAATTCCGGGCGAGCCATTGAC